GGTTGGCAGTTAATTTGCATATCGCCCTGATTAGCCAATGGGAAGGGTAGCGAAGTTACAGCTAATTACCATGTTTCTCTTTTATTAGATAAGATTGCCAAAACCTGGAAGCAATCAAGATGTCCTTCAGTATATGAATAGATAAATAAGCTGTGGCGTATATCTGATAAGGGGTTAATATCCAAAATACATAAATAACATACACAACACAATAGCAAAAAAACCCAAATAACCCAATTTAAAAATGGGCAAAGGATCTGACTAGACACTTTTTCAAAGAAGATAAATGAACGGCTAAAATGAAAAGATGCTCAACAACATTAGTCCTTAGGAAAATGCAAATTAAAACCAGAATGAGATATCACCTCACATCTGTTAAATGGCCATTATAAAATCAACAAGATACTATATAGAGAGAACCTTGAAGATTCCACACAAAAATCTTTTAAAATAAATGAATTCAGTATAGTAGCAGAATACAAAATTAATATTCAGAAATCTGTTGCATTTTTTACACTAATAATGAACTATCAGAAAGAGAAATTAAGAAAACTATCATTTACAATTGCATGAAAAAAGAATAAAATACTTAGGAATAAATTTAACTAAGGAGGTAAAGACCTGTAGTAAGAAAACTATGACACTGAAGAAAAAAAATGGGTGTTTGCAGCTGCCGTCACTCTCAAATGCCTGCGCCGCCTCGCTCCAGCCATAGGAGAAGGGGGGGTGGTAAGTAAAGGGGTCACTATACCATGGCTCGTACAAAGCCGACTGCCTGCAAATCGACTCGTTGTAAAGCACCGAGGAAGCCACTGGCTACCAAAGCCGCTTGAAAGAGTGCGCCCTCTACTGGAGGGGTGAAAAAAACCTCATCGTTACAGGCCTGGTACCGTGACACTTCATGACATTAGACTTTATCAGAAGTTCACTGAACTGATTTGCAAACTTCCCTTCCAGCGTCTGGTGTGAGACATTGCTCTGGAGTTCAAAACAGATCTGCGCTTCCCAAATGCAGCTGTTGGTGCTTTGCAGGAGGCAAGGGAGGTCTCTCTGGTTGGCCTTTTTGAAGATACCAACCTGTGTGCTCTCCACGCCAAACGTGTAACAGTTATGCCAGCACGCCGTGTACCTGGAGAACGTGCTTAAGAATCCACTAAGACGGAAAACATTTCATTCTTTTAAAAAAATTTCTTCCCGTTATTGGTAGTTCTGAACATTAGGGTGTTTATTTGTTTTTTCCCCATGGGGGTCAAAAGATATATAAGTATATTATTGCAAGTTGAAAATAGGGGACAGAAATCAGGTATTGGCAGTTTTTCCATTTTCATTTGTGTGTGAATTTTTTTTTAATATAAATGAGGGGACATAAAGCATTAATGTAAGTCAAATGTTTCAGTAAACAAGTTTCAGCAGTTCAACTTTATAACAATATAAATAAACCTGTTAAATTTTTCTGGACAATGCCAGCATTTGGATTTTTTTAAAAAAACAAGTAAATTTCTGGATGACAGAACTGAAAATTCAGCTTAATACCTTTTCTCATTAAAATAACAAAAAATCTAAGAGCAATACAGATAGTTATAAAAGAAATAAAGAATTGCAAAAAATAAAAATAAAAAAAAGTAAATTTCTTATTTATGGCAACTAAATGGTGTTTGTAGCATTTTTATCAAACAGTACATTCCATCCATTCACTATACTTTCTTTTTTTTTTCATATATATTTTATTGATTTTTTTACAGAGAGGAAGGGAGAGAAATAGAGAGTTAGAAACATCGATGAGAGAGAAACATCGATCAGCTGCCTCCTGCACATCTCCTACTGGGGTTGTGCCCTCAACCCAGGTACATGCCCTTGACCGGAATCGAACCCGGGACCCTTCAGTCTGCGGGCCGACGCTCTATCCACTGAGCCAAACTGGCTTCGGCTCACTATACTTTTCTAACTTAGTTGTCCTACATGCAATTACATGTTTTTAATGTTGCCTGTCTTCTGTGCTGTCCCTGTAAGTTTGCTATTAAAATATATTAAGCTATTTAAAAAAAGAAAAATTGAAGATATGATAAATGGGAAGTTATGCTGTGCTCATGAATAGGAAGAATTAACATTATTAAAATGTCCATACTACCCAAAGCAACCTACAGATTCATTACAATTTTAAACTATACTACAAGGTTATTATAATCAAAACAGCATGGTACTACCTGGCCACTGTTTTTCAATGGTTGAGCATCAACCTATGAACCAGGAGTTCATGGTTTGATTCCTGATCAGGGGGTTGTGGATAAATCCCCAGTAGGGAGCATACAGAAGGCAGCTGATCCTATGTTTTTCTCTCATTTCTCTCATGGATGTTTCTATCTCTCTATCCCTCTCCTTTCCTCTCTCTAAAAATCAATAAAAAAATATTTTAAAAACAGCATGTTACTAGCATAAAACATCCATAGGCCATGGAACAAAATAGAGAGCCCAGAAAAAAATTCACACCTATATGATCAATTAATCTCTGACAAAGGAGGCAAGAATATATAATGGGACAAAGACAGTCTCTTCAAAATGGTGTTGGGAAAATTGGACAGATAATATGCAAAAAAACTAAACTAGACCACTTTCTTACACCGTATCCTACATAATACAAGCCAGTATGCTAAGTGCGATCGACTGGTTGGCCCTTCAACCATTCAAAGTGTGATATGCTAATGATATGCTAAGGCTGCTCAACCCCTCGCTCTGATGTGCACTGACCACCGAGGGGAAGACGCTCCAACCGGTAAGTTAGCTTGCTGCTGGGGTCCGGCCCATCGGGACTGAGTGAGACCGGCCAGACATGCCCTGGAGCCCTCCTGTGGTCCTTCCCTGGCTGACCTGTGTCTCTCCCTGTGTCTCTCCCCAGCCCCAATCATACACTGGTGGGGTCCCTTGGCCTGGCCTGCACCCTCTCACAATCTGGGACCCCGCAGTGGATGTCGGAGAGCTGGTTTCAGCCTGATCTTGCAGGCCAGGCTGAGGGAACCCCACTGGTGCACGAATTCGTGCACTGGGCCTCTAGTAGAAGAATAAACTCCAAATGGATTAAATACTTAAAGACTTAAAGTCCTGAGCCCTGGCCAGTGGCTCAGTTGGTTAGAGCATTATTCCATACACCAAAAGGTTATGGGTTTGGTCCCCAGTCCGGGTGGGTGGGAAAGGCAACCTCCCTCTAAAATATGTAATGAGACGAGGACAGTCTCTTCAATAAATGGTGTTAGGAAAATTAAAATTTAGGATTATAGAAAAATAAAAAAATACTTAAAGACCTGAAACCATAAAACTCCCAGAAGAAAATATATGCAGGAAGCTCTGTAACATTGCTCTTAACAATATATTTTTTGATATGTCTCCTCAGGCATGGGTTACAAATGAAAAAATAAATATATGGGACTACATTAAACTAAAAGGTTTTTGCACATCAAAGCAAGCCATTAACAAAATGAAAACCTACTGAATGGGAGAACATATTTGCCAATGATACATTAGCTAAGGGGTTAATATCCAAAATATGTAGAAAAACTCTACAATTTAACATAAAAGAACCCCCAATCTGATTTAAAAATGGGGAGAGGACCTGGATAGGCCTTTCTCTAAAGAGTATTTGCAGATGGCTAACATATATGAAAAGATGCTCATTAATCATCAGAGAAATACAAATTAAAACCACAATGAGGCCCTAGCCAGTTTACCTCAGTGGACAGAGTGTCAGCCTGTGGGCCAAAGGGTCCCGGGTTTGATTCTGGTCAAGGGCACTCACTTCGGTTGCAGGCTCCTCCCTGACCTGGTCCCTGGTTAGGGACCGTGCAGGAGGCAACCAATCGGTGTGTTTCTCTCACATCGATGTTTCTCTCTGTCTTTCCCTCTCTGTTCCACTCTCTCTAAAATCAATGGAAAAATATCCTCAGGTGAGGATTAAACAAAACAAACACAGTAAGCCCTGGCCGGTGCAGCTCAGTGGATAGAGCGTTAGCCTGTGCACAGAAGGGCCTCAGGTTTGATTGCTGGTCAATGGCACATACCTGGGTTGCAGGTTTGACCCCAGTGTGGGAGGCAACCAATCGATGTGTCTTTCTCACACGGATGTTTCTCTATCTATCTCTATCTCACCCTCTCCCTTTCTTCCACTTTCTCTAAAAGTCAATGGGAGTGGGGGGAGAATGTCCTCAGGTGAGGATTAACCAAAAAACAAGACAAAACAAAAACCCACAATCCACAATGAGATACGACTTTACACCTGTCAGAATGACTATCGTCAATAAATCAACAAAAAGCAAGTGTTGTCACGGATGTGGAGAAAAGGGAATCCCTGTGCACACTGGGTACGGTTGCAAATTGGTGCAGCCACTATGGAAAACAGTATGGAGTTTTCTACACTATGACCCAGCAATTCCACTTCTGGGAATTTCCCCAAAGAAATCCAAAACACTAATTTGAAAACATATGCATCCCTATATGTATTGCAGCATTATTTTCAATAGCCAAGATATGAAGCAAGCTAAGTGTCCATTAGTAGATAAATGGTTAAAGAGACGTGGCACATGCATACAATGGAATATTGTTCAGCCATAAACAAGAATGAAATTTTAGCATTTGTGACGACATGGATGGACCTACAGGGTATTTTGCTGGGTGAATTAAGTGAGGCAGAGAGACAATTACCGCATGACTTCACTAGAATGTGGAATCTGAAGAACAAAGAAATGAACAAACAGAACAAACAAATGCAGATACAGCGGACAAATTGATGGTTGCCAGGTGGGAGGTCAGGCAGGGGGATGGGTGAAAAAGGTAAAGGGCGCCCCCTCGTGGCCGCGGCTTCGAGGCCCAGCACGGGGCTGCCCTCCCCCCACCCGCGTCCCCCCGCAGCTCCGCCCAACGCCAGGCCAGAGGCGCCGCCTGGAGGGAAAACCCCGCCGGTGCCGGTGCCGGTGCTCGGTCCAGGCCCCGTGGTCCTGGAGGAGGCGAGGTGCTGGGCCGCCGGGGGCAGGTGCGATGGATGACGCGCCAAGTGACTCCAGCCGTGAGACGGGGGCCACCGCAACACCTACCGGGTCTTCATTGGCAACCGCCCAGGTCGCCGCGACGTCATCCGACTCCAACAGCCAGTGCGTGTTCTGCCGGATCGTGGCCCAGCAGGAGCCCGGCACCGAACTCCTGTATTGTGAGGACGAAGACCTGGTTTGCTTTAAAGATATCCAACCAGCAGCAACTCATCATTACCTTGTGGTGCCAAAGCGGCACGTTGGGAACTGCGCAGAGCTAAGGAAAGAGCAAATAGGGCTTGTGGAGAGCATGGTTACCGCCGGAAAAACCATTCTTGAAAGGAATAATTTCACTGACTTCAAAAATGTGAGAATGGGTTTCCATGTGCCACCATTCTGCACCATTTCCCACTTGCACCTTCATGTCATAGCGCCAGTCTATGAGTTTGGCTTCTTATCAAAGTTGGTTTATAAACCGAATTCCGATTGGTTCATCACAGCTGACTATTTGATTAAAACACTAAGAAGACGAAAATGACAGCAGTGGAAGGTTTTCTTATTCTCGGCTCAACAGAAACGAATATGTTGGCCCCGCTTAAATCAAATTACAATGGTAAGGTTTGTTGGGTTTTATAGGAGGCTGTTACTGGGTAGCCTTAAGTCTTCTCTGAATGTGTTTCCTGAGATCTGTAATATAGTTATATGAATACTCTGGCACTGACTTCTTTGTTTTGTTTTTTTAATATATTTTATTGGTTTTTTACAGAGAGGAAGGGAGAGGGATAGAGAGTTAGAAACATCGATGAGAGAGAAACATCGATCAGCTGCCTCCTGCACACTCCCCACTGGGGATGTGCCCGCAACCAAGGTACATGCCCTTGACCAGAATCGAGCCTGGGACCCTTGAGTCTGCAGGCCGACGCTCAATCCACTGAGCCAAACCGGTTACGGCTTGACTTCTTTGTGTTTTTTGTTTGTTTGTTTGTTTTTTTAAAGAAGGGCTCTGTATTTTTTAAAAGTTCAAGTATTTTCATTTCTCATTATTGTCAGTTATAATAGTGATTTATTATGAAGAATAAACAGGTATAGAAAAAAGAAAAAGGTAAAGGGAGTAAGAAGTACAAATTAGTAGTTATAAAAATAGCCATGGGGATATAAAGTATAGCATGGGGAATACAGTCAATAATATTTGTTTTAATGGTTACTTATCTAAGGTATAAGATTCTATAGATAAAATTTCATTAAAACAAATTCTGTTAATCAAGAAGGGCTCTGTATTTTTTAAAAGTTCAAGTATTTTCATTTCTCATTATTGTCAGTTATAATAGTGATTTATTATGAAGAATAAACAGGTATAGAAAAAAGAAAAAGGTAAAGGGAGTAAGAAGTACAAATTAGTAGTTATAAAAATAGCCATGGGGATATAAAGTATAGCATGGGGAATACAGTCAATAATATTGTAATACTTGTGTCAGGTTGATACTAGATTTATTGGGGTGATCACTTCATATGTTATATAAGTGTCAAATCACTGTGTTGTACATCTAACTAATATTATCTGTCAACTGCAACTGAAAAATTAAAAATATTTTTTAGCCCAATAGGTGTGGCTCAGTGATTGAACATTGCCCTATTAACCAGGAGGTCAGGGTTAGATTCCCAGTCAGGGCACATGCTGGGTGCAGGCTAGAACCCCAGTAGGAGGCGTGCAGGCAGCAGCTGATCAATGCTGCTCTCTCATCATTGATGTTTCTCTCTCTCCCTCTCTCTTCCTCTCTGAAATCAATAAAAATAAAATAAAAAACACTAGAATGTCCTATAGAGCAACCAAAAGCTGTATGTGGGAAAGGCTTCACCATGAAGTGTGATCACACTGTACATCAGCAAACTCACTTTAGAGAAATTGTATAGGTGCAATGAATGTGGGAAAGCCTTCTCCAAAAAGTTCACGCTCACTGAACACCAGAGAACACACACAAGAGAGAAATCTTATGAATGCTCTGAATGCAATAAAGCCTTTTTCAAGAAATCATGGTTCAATATCCATCAGAAAACACACGCAGGAGTAAAAACCCTTTGTATGCATTGACAGTGGGAAAGGCTTCATCCAGGGGCAGTCTCATTGTACACGGGCAGATTCACAGTCGAGAAACCTTATATATGCAACGGATACGGAAAAGGTTTAGTCCAGAAGACATACCTGATAGCACATCAGATAGTTCACACGTGGAAGACGCCTTTTGTGCGCAGCAAGCGTGGAAAATCCTGTTCCCAGAATTCAGGTCTCATTAAACATCAAAGAATTCACCCGGGAGACAGAGCCTATGCCCGTGATGAGTGTGGGAAAGCTTTTGCCTACATGTTTTGTCTTGTGAAACGTAAGAGTACACACACAGGAGTGAGCTATGATGTGGTCAAGGAGGAAAATCCTGTCACAGAGCGTCCCAGCTCATCACAAAACAGTGTTGTCCTGCAGGAGAGAAACCTTGTTAATATGGTGATTGTGCAAGTGCCTTCTGTGGCCATTTAGCAAACATTAAGACATTAAACATGCAAATTTTTGAGGACAAATTTCCAGCTCAGCTTATGGTTTTAAAGTATATTTTGCCCAGCTGGTGTGGCTCAGTGGTTGAGCTTTGACATAAGAACCAGGAGGTCACAGTTCAATTCCTGGTCAGGGCACATGCCTGGGTTTCAGGCTCAATCCCCGGTGCGGGGGTGTTCAGGAGGCAGCCGATCAATGATTCTCTCTCATCATTGATGTTTCTATCTCTCTCCCTCTACCTTCCTCTCTCTGAAATCAATAAAAATATATAATAAATACAGAATCATAGACAGCCCTAACCGGTTTGGCTCAGTGGATGGAGCATCAGCCTGTGGACTGAAGGGACCCAGGTTCGATTCTGGTCAAGGGCAGGTACCTTGGTTGCGGGCACATCCCTAGTAGGGACCACTGAGCCAAACCGGTTAGGGCTGATCGATGTTTTTAACTCTCTATTCCTTTCCCTTCCTCTCTGTAAAAATTCAATAAATATATTTTAAAAATCATAGATATAGAGAGGACTGGTGATTTCCAGAGTGGAGGGTGGGGAAGGGGGAATTGGAGGAAGGTGATCAAAAGTCACAAACTCCCGCCGAAACCGGTTTGGCTCAGTGGATAGAGCGTCGGTCTGCGGACTGAAAGGTCCCAGGTTCGATCCCGGTCAAGGGCATGTACCTTGGTTGTGGGCACATCCCCAGTGGGGCGTGTGCAGGAGGCAGCTGATCGATGTTTCTCTCTCATTGATGTTTCTGACTCTCTATCCCTCTCCCTTCCTCTCTGTAAGAAATCAATAAAATATATTTTAAAAAAATAAACAAATAAAAATAAAAAAGTGAGTGATGCTCATCTTTTTAGACTGTCCTCCCAGCACCCTCAGAAGGCAGGCCAGACCAGAGTCGGAATGAGCTAAACCTTGCCTTGCGGTCCTGTTTCCTTGCTATGTGACGATCAGCAATTCACGTCACTTTTCTGAGCACCATTTCCTTTAAAATGGTGACAGAGTTGCTGATGTGAAATTGCTTTGAAAGCTCTAAGGAACCACCCAAGTGCAAAGGTGTATTGCACTTGGCAATTTCACACATCTGTCGTAGCTGTGTGGGCCCTGGAGCCAGTTGATTTGTGACCTGTTATTCCTGCACTCCTGGTAGCGGGGACGCTCTCCTGGCCAGCATTTTGTCTGCCTACTGAGTGGCAGGCCCTGTGCTGGGTGAAGTGGGGGAAACAGGGGGAAGATGGCATAGTCTCTGCCCTCAAGAATGTAGTCTCTTGGGGGGCTGGCCTGTAAGGTTGGTAAAGAGAATAGCAGAGGGTTCTGATGCCGTGGGAGAAGGCGGTCAAGGTGGCGGTCAAGGTGGCGGTCAGATCGGGGAGGGCTTTCTTGAGTCGGCGTCGTTTGAGCCTGGCCTTGAAAAATGTCTGCATGAGGGCAGACGCTTCGGCCAGATGACACAGCCTCGCATAGAGCAGTTCATCTCCTTGTGAAGGAGGCGACGGAGATAGGTCACTTGGAGGCAAGTGTCCAAAGGCCCAGTACGCCAGCCTAGGTAGTGGAGCACTCGTTTGGACAGGACAGGGAGCTACTGAAAGTTCCTGAGCAGGGTCAGCACGGTCCAGGCCCCACTTTCCAACGAATGATCTACAGGATGCTCGGGAAGGCTGCAAGGAGAGCGGTGAGCAAGGAGGCAGGACAGTTGTAATGGGGGCTGCTGGACGGGAGGTGGCAGTGGAGACCGAGGGGGAGACTGCAGGGGAAGAATTGGCTGAACTTGGCAATGGATGGCTAGTGATGAGCCTCTGAACAGCCTACTTCTCGCTTTCTCCAAAGCCAGTCTTCCCAGGCTCCCTTCCAGGCCTCTTCTCCCGGGCCCCTCCATCAGCTGTAGGGCTTCCTCAGCATTCTTCCCCGAGTCGCCTTCTCTCAGCCAACATGTTGCCAAGGGCAGACGCGGATATCCTGAAGCGAATGAAGCTTAAGCTACAGGACACCTCCCTTACAGGGCCCCTGCATTGCTAGGACTATTGGGGGTTACAGAACAGCCTGGGTGAGGTGGGGAAGCCAGGCTGCCACCAGAGAGCATGTGCACGTAAGCCTCTCTGGTAATCTGCCTCAGGAGACTTCAGAAAGAAAAGACATTAATCCCAATAATTTGTCGTGATCTCATTGTGCATTCTGTCGACACAAGAAACGCCCAAACTTGTAGAGACTCTTTGTGAGTTTACTGGAGCCTAAGTGATGACATTGCTGAGAAGCAAGATCTCAAATGCCGCGGCGAATGCACAGGTTTGCAGTTTCTTTCATACATTCGGAATCGAGGAGAAGGTAAGGAAGATCACACGGAGGCGGGGGGAAGCAGGGAGAGTTAACACGATAGGTGCCCCCTTGAGGGTGGTTACAGCTCTGAGGGATCCGGAAAAGAGGACTGCGTTTGACGTTTCAACCCAACCCAGACGCACGTAACAGCAGGGCCCCATTCCCACGGGGGTCAGCCGAGAGCAAGCGTGAGGAAGTGCAACATGTGAGGCACGGATGAGGGCCCAGGCCTCTCACCAGGGGTGGAGAGGGGCAGAGGCGAGGGGCAGGGAAGGTGCCATGTTAGACAGGGTGGTCTTTGATGAGATGGCAGGTGAGCAGGGACAAGGTTTCTCCACACAGCAGCCAGGAAAATCCTTTCTGACTGTCAGGCTGACCGATGGAGTCGCTCTTCAAGTCCTGTCCCGGCTCCCTGCGCGGTGGGCGCCTGCCGAGTTCTCCAGCCCATCTCTCCAGCCCTTTACGCTCAGACACGGGGTCTTTCCACGGGTGCCTCCTGCAGTGGGTCTCAACCTTCCTAACGCTGCGACCCTTCAATACAGTTCCTCATGTTGTGGTGACCCCCAAGCATAAAATTATTTTCATTGCTACTTCATCGCTGTAATTTTGCTGCTGTTATGAATCATCATGTAAATATCTGATATGCAGGATGGATTTTCAGGGGTCGCGACCCACAGGTTGAGAACCGCTGCGTAGTCCCAATGACGACACCCTTAAGCTCATCGGGCAACCTCCAAGGCTCCTTTGTAGGCGGTTAATGTATTTCTAGAAAACCAAACAGAGCATTATTGGAGGATTAGGGCAGAAGGGAGCTACGGAACTCT